GGACAAAGAAACGTTCTTAACTGCAAAGTGAAAGTCTAGTCAAATTCATCGACTAAATCATTCTACACTAATGTTAAAACCCTAGACATTAGAGTAGCAAGTTGAAAATCAGGAAGAAAATAAAGCAGAGCTTAAATCGACATGGTTACAAACACGCAGCAATCGAGAGAAACATTGCTAACTGGAGCATATACACCCCAAAATACATTGCAGTGAGCAATTCTCACCTTAGCTGCAAAGAAGTCACAAAAACTCCAAGTTGGCATTGATCGATTTTCATTCAGCTTGCGGATGTCCTCCACATAATACTGTATCCGGCGGTCCATGCTATTCCGAATACACTCCACTATCTTCATTTCGACCTCCTCCCATACAGATGTGCTCGCTCCATGTAGGTCAACCCTGCAACATCTGCTCCACAAGATCAAAAAATCGATCACTTTCGGAGGACCACTAGAAATCAATCAAGTGACCATACATAAGGTAACTAAGACGAAAGATAGTTCAGTTGAGGGCTACTGTGTCTGTTGAACTAAAGAACAAAAGGGTTACGGTAGCAAATGCCCAGTTCAGCAAGCCCGATGTTAAGTACCTCTCCCTCTTCTTGGAGCTGAAGTCGCTTTCAATCCTGCTATACACCTTCTTGCTAAGTTTGAAAGCATTTTCAGTGGTAGCTTTAGAGTTGAACACAAGAAACCATTCATGATCTTCAGCCTGCACAATGGTTTTGAGGAGTGGTTTCAACAAGTTTTTGTAATCATCAAGGTCCTGCAAAATGATCGTCTAGATATTAATGTTCTCTTGACAACAAAGTTTACATCTCTTCATATACAATTGACCAACATTTCTTTATGAAGTCCATCACAAAGTCGTATCGAAGATGAATTTCCTCATTGTGATAGTACAACCATTGGAGTAGATTTACCTCACATGTCACTAGAATGACCCATACGTAGAGTCGGTGGAATTCCAAAGGCAATGGAATGTCCTCCCCGAGCAAACCTCTGTGCAGACGCAGATCAGTGCTTTGGATAAATTCCACGGATAACTTGTCAATCAGTACAAGATTTCGGGCTTTATTATTCAAGCTTGCTTTCTTGAATGGTACACGGGTCTCAAGATTTCCTTTGACAGTCTCCCATAAGTCACTAACATCCTCAACTGCACATAGAAATAACACTCGTCCACTTTAAAGAACAATTCATCTCAAAAACTTCACTCTGGTTGATTTAAAGTAATCGCTGATCTCACTAGTTACACAACAATTGAAACATGCAAAATCATGACTTGTAATCATAATAGCAAGAAATATACCATGATATAAAAAGACACTAAATAGAAGAGCTAAAGATTCAGTAACTATCACTAGTAGTACAAAAAAAAGATATTTCTTGCAACTATGGACATTAAAACTTTTCCTCATCATTAACATTAATTTATTCTTAAAACCAAGATGGAGGAAACGAAAAAATAGTATACATCAAGCAAAAAATTACATATTATTGATCTACTTGGCTACATTGAAAGATATTTAAGTAGCAAATGAAGTTGAATCCCATATGAGAGCAACAATGAAGATATAAAAATCCAATGCATCTATAGAATTACCAATTTTAACTCCAAAAATATGTCCCTCTTATGCAACAACTTATTTTATAAATATTTATTATGACTTTGTTCATTAAGGTGAAGAACAATACAATGATTGTTAAAATAAATAAATAAAAGTTAAAATAGATTAAATTACATTGTAGAAGATATTATCTTCAGTAAGTTGCTAATGGTCAAAGGATTAGCTCTTAGTATGTAAGAAGGCTAAGAAACAAGATAGATGAACAAGCAATCTTAAAGATATAGGAGATATATTAAAGGTATATTCTCACAGTAGATAAGATATATATATGGATAGTTTCAATAGAATGTTAGTTGGACATATTCATCAAAAGATGGAAGTTGTCCATTAGGGCTGCAACCACCATCTATAAGTAATGGATAATAGAAATAAGGGTTACCTTACTTTATACTCTCTTTGTGTGTAATCTTACTAATATTATATATTGTAACTTCAAAGCTTTTTTTTTCAATAGGTTATGGACCCACTCATCTTTAGTTGTAAGTTTTGAAGTTCTTTGAAGTCTTTCTTATTGTGAAGAGTAGATCTTATGGTTATTACTAATATTAAGATTTGATATCTTCTAAATCTTTTTTTGCATCTAGTTATTGATATAATTTTGCTCTTACTTATTAATAAGTACATTCATAGTCTTGGAAGTTATAAGACATCTCAGAATGATGTTTTAGAATATTAGTGTTGTGTTTCTTTATTAATTTATATTATTACTACACTAATATTATGCTTTTATGTACTAAATTTTTTAAGTGATTTTTTTATAGGAATAAGAGGTGTTTTGTGAAATTAAAAGTGTTTTGTGAGAGTTGAGCATGATTAAAGAGTGAAATTTTTAGTTTATTCATAAAAAAGTCAGTTTAGGTTTTTAAAGCAGTAATTTCTTTATCTTAATAAAATGACGAGTACAATTGCCAAAAAAGACAATATGTTAAAAAACAAATTTCTCTAGCTACAATAAGGACCATGTGGTTGGAATCATGTACAATACCTAATAAAGATCTTATTCTTTCCTCAAGTCTCTCACTTTGTTTTATAATAGATGTATATTTAGAACCTAAAAATCATAAAGTCTTTGCTTTATTAGATTTATAAGCCTTAACTTCTTTTATAGACAATGACTTTGTCAAAAAATAAGAGATATCATTAATCAAGAAAACTAAATTTGTACATCCAAACTCTTACTAGTAGATACAAGAGCTTTCATGCATGTAACAAAAGAAAGGTCATCTTTTGCTATATATACCACATCTATTTTTGATAGAAGAAAGACATCAAGTGATTTTTTTTAGCTAATATCAAGATTTCTAAGATGATTCTAAAAAAAACTATAAATATTCTTCTAAAGCATTGACCTTATGATTATTCAATTGATTTGGAAGAAGAGCTCAACTACCATTTGAAACAATCTACAACTTATCACAAAATAAATTGGCTATACTAAAAGAATACATTGACAAGAACTTGGCTAAGAACTTCATACGCCATTTAAAACCTCCAATAGGAGCTCCTATCTTATTTGTGAAGAAAAAAGATAGATCTGAAGAAGATCCAAACTATCATAGATTAGAAGATTTCAAGAATAATAATAAATATATGATGTTTTTGGACTTTGCCAATTACTATTAGATCCTCATTAAAAAAAATAAAAAAATAAAAAAATAAAAAAATCAAGTTGCAATTCCACTTATATGTTTGAGTTGTAAAGACAAACTTGAGTGGAATAAAGAAGCTAAAATATCATTTGATCTTTTGAAGAAGAAATTTACTTTTGCACCAATCTTCTATTGCATCAACTTTTTTAAGATCTTTTTTTATAGAAATATATGTATTATACTCTGTCTTGAGTGCAATATTGTTACAAATAGAAGCAAATAATAAACTCCATCTAGTAGCTTTCTAATCCAAGATAAGTAGCAGAGATCAACTACAAAATCTATGATAAAGAATTTCTTACAATTATGGATTCTTTTTAGAAATGGCATCATTATCTAAAACAAAATTCTAATTTAATCATTGTATATACAAATCACAAGAACCTCAAGTACTTCATATTAGCATGGCTATTGAATTATTTCCAAGCTTATTGAAGCATGTTCTTATCAAGATTTCATCTTTAACTAATATAAATCAACATTTATTGTTGATTCAATCTTTATCAATCAAATTCAATCAAGTATGTCCTGTGATCCTCTTCTCATAATATCAAGAATACTTTTTCTAAGTTTCATGATACTTTCAAGTTCAAATTCAAATTCAAAAACAACCTACTCTATTTTGAAGGTTGCTTATATAGTTTAAAAAGAGAAGCATATTTACGTATTCTTCAAGCATGTGATGACTTTTCAGTGATGGAACATTTTGGATACAATAAGACTTTCAAGCTCATATCTAAAGATTTTTAGTGGCCACAAATATAAAAGGCCATAAAAGACTTTGTATAATCATGTGATATTTTTACAAAATCAAGAATCCCTTCTTATTGATCCTATAGACTTTTCTAACTATTACCTATACATGAACAATTATAGTCTTCTATTTCTATGGATTTTATTATAGATCTTTTAAGTTCAAATTTATATAACTTTATATATATGATCATAGATTGCTTCATCAAAATAACATATTTTATACTATATACAAAATTTATTTCAAGTAAAGAAACAGCCAAGCTTTTTTTTGATAATATCTATCGCTATTATAAATTGCTAATAGATATTATATCAAATAGAGGGACACAATTTGTATCAAGATTTTGGAGAACCTTTTTTAAGATATTAAAGAAGGATATATAATTATATTAGGCTTTTCATCTTCAAACTAATAAGCAAATGAAACGGATGAATTAAGTTTTGAAGCAATATTTGAGTTATACCATCAACTATCATTAAGGTGATTGAACAAATCTTTTGCTATTGGTAGAATTTGTATACAATAATTTAGTACATTCTTCCACTCAATTAATACCTTTCTCTTTCAATGATCTATTATCTTTATTCTTCAGAAATCGCCCATAAATTCATCCATCCATCCCCTCCGTCCATCCGTCCGTCCGTTTGTCGGTCTATCAGTCGGTCGTCTCACTAATCTTATTATCGAGAGTGGATTTGCCAACGTGGCTATCCAATGCACGATACCACGTCATCTAACATTGTCCACGTCACCGGACGCAGTCCACGTCATAGGGCTGGCCGTGAAGTTGTCATGCCACACACACGCTCACGCTAGCTCCCCTTGTGCCGGACTACGGGGAGGTGATGAATGCTTGGATCTTGACACCAGATGATTGCTACATCTACGAATCCACCCTCGCTCCGATCATCCAATCTCTCACCCCACAGCCCCCCCTCTCTACATAATCAACGTGTCAAAATTCGTCCGAAATCAGTGTTGTGTGCAGCTCCAGGGCAACCCTCCATCTTGGATTGCGTGAGACCTGATCAACGGAGGCTAAGTCTCGGGGGGCGAGGCAGTGAGTTTCCGTTGTTTAGTTGGGTGGGTTTTTGGGTTTTGGTTTTATATTTTGGGGAGGTTGTAATTTGGAGGGTTGCTTGGTATCGTCTTTCATGAGATGGGTCGAGGGCAGCAGTATGTTACGAAACTGCGCCACTAGTGCTGAAGCAATACCTGTGCGCTAAGTGAGAGTGTTCCTCATGGGTGGTGAGAAGGCAGGGAGTCGCTAGTCGTTGCATCTTTGGCGTTTTAGAACGAGAGTTGGTGGTACGCACCAGTTTCGTCTCTTGGCTGCCAGGAGCTTTCTGCAACCATGACGACTTGTGTAAGCAATATGTTGTCCCTAGTTTCCTCCAGCTACCAATGTCGCAGGGCGAGAGCTGAGGCAGAGGAGAGGGTTTTAGTGCGTGCGGGTGGGCGTAGCAGCCGCAGCATTCTGTTCTTTGAGGGTAGGTTGAATCTTCGACCAACTTCTTTCGAAGTAGCTGCATTAAGGGGCAGTGTAGGGTTACCAATTCTCTCTATTCGAAGGAAGAGGACGGGCCCGAGGGTGTCGGCAGCTTTTGTTTGCAGTGCCGGCGCGAGTGGTGGGCCTCCGGATTCTCAATCCTCAGAGGATGCGCCGAAGCCTAAGCAAGGTGTCAATCTGTTGCCTAAGCTGGTACTATTCTACTTCTCCTGTGCTTTCTCCTGTACTTCTGAATCTGGGGTTTTCTTGAGAACATGCTATGTGGAACACATAATTGTGGACAATCGTAAAGGGCATCGCATAATCTCTGTTTATGTATAAAGGTATTAGGGGTTTGTGATTGGCAATGCTGGTGTGACAAAGTTCGTTTTAAAGAGGCTTTTGAATGAAATTATGATCATTCCAGACTTCCACTATATTGGCCTTGAGTTTCTATTTTCTGGTATTGGGTTCTAAAGAGAAAATATGTGCACGAATTTTAGTTAAGAGATATACTTCCCATCCACAAACCTTGCTTCAAAGATTATGGATCATTCGGTCCTTTATACAGAGCCTTATCTATTACCTGGAAGGCAATATTTGTTTGGTTGTTGATTGCTTGATTCTTTATCTTTACATTCTCGCATTCTTTTTACCTTCCTCCAAGAAAAATGTCAAATCTACGCTTTCAATCTGCAAGATGTATGATGCATGTTTCCAGATTTGAGATTATTGTTACCCTCTCATCCTTGTGACGCATCAATCGTTGAAGTGCGGATCTGCTGTTAAGATCCTCTATACCCTGATGCTGGTGCTAGTCAAGGCAGAACTGAACGTAGTCACCGCATCAAAAAGTCAGTGAGCCGCTTGGTACTCAATGAAAGTTGTGGCGGTTTGCTTCTGGTAAATCATGAATTCTTAATTGGCAGCCCTAAACGCTCACACTTGTGTTGAAGAGAGATAGGTAATATTCGTTGACAAAGTACTTGTGAGCAGCATTCTGGATGATGAGTACTTAAAATGTCTATGGAAGTGATGTGACTGAAATGGAATTAATGTTCTGTTTTGTCTTGCCTACACAGCTTCGGAGACTTCTTCCAGCTGTAGTGATCGGAGTTGCATCCTGGTTAATAAGGCATCCAAGCATCGCTGTTGCGAGTGTCGAGGCTCCAACTTTCGCGGTTGGAGGGGAGGCTGCTCATGGAGGGGCTTTATCCAGGGATATCGCCAAAGCCGGAGGAGGGTTAGTAGCAAGTGCCTGGACTGGACTGGTGGCAGGTACTCTACACACGTTAACAGGGCCTGACCATTTAGCCGCTCTTGCACCCCTTTGCATTGGTCGATCTAGACTGCAGAGTTTTTCGGTGGGTGCTCTATGGGGCTGCGGTCACGATGCAGGTCAAGTCATTTTCGGCATCATCTTCCTTCTACTAAAAGACAGGTACGTCTTTGTTAGATTGATTTAAGCTGGTGTACTCACCCTTGCATATTTTTACATGTACACATACACACATGAAAACAGTTGTAGTTTTCTGACGTAATCACCTTCCCTCTCTACCGTCTGCACATTCACCTTTATTGCATCTGTATTTATATTGCAGGTTGCACCTTGATATTATTCAAACATGGGCTGCCCGTGTAGTGGGTCTCATGCTGATTACTGTAGGAGCAACGGGTCTTAAAGAGGCATATGAGATTGACGCAGCCGCTCCAGTTTTGGCTGAAGGAGAAATGCCTGCCGTATCTGTAAAGAAGTCAGTCGGTCCAGCTACTTTCATCACTGGTATCGTACACGGATTACAACCTGATGCACTCCTGATGATATTGCCTGCGCTATCTCTCCCATCACGAGCTGCGGGGGCGGCATTTTTAGGTATGTTTTTGTTGGGTACAGTTTTGGCTATGGGCAGTTATACCGCTTTTGTTAGCTCATTGAGCAAAGCGCTGCAAAAGCGTGTACCGAAGATCAATCATCAGCTCTCTCTAGGCTCTTCCTTAGTTGCCATAGCACTCGGTATTGCAGTTTTGCTCGGAGAGATATTCGGTTTCAATATTTTTTGAGTTCGCTTACTTCTATTATAATGTAGAGATCTGTATTAGCTCAACTTTTTTTGCGAGGCGAACCAGCACCAGCCCGCTTATTGAAATCTACCGGAAGCAGACATGAAGGTCCCTCTCACGAGGCTGTTCCACGAATTTCAGTCTAATGATATTCTTTCACCTTACAAAATTCGGCGTATCCAATAATTGACAAAATACATCCCGACTTAGACCATTTGTTTGTGTCTATACATAATAGTTGTCCGAGATTATGATTTTTGAAGGTCTTTAGTTTGTATCTACTTCGATCACAATAAGATATTTGTGGTCCAGTTGCCATGATAGTTGGCAGTTTCCTCTCTCAACTATTATTAAATGTAACAAACGTTAATTTGTGTCAGTAATGTCAAATTGCGAATGTGGTGTAACGCTGTCCACAAACCTGCTTTTGATTCAACACCTAGTGAAAGTTACTGATAGGAAAGTTTTCATCGTGTAAATGTTTAGAATGATACTGTTTGAATGGTAAGTCACAACTTGCGTTGCGTAGATCGTAGGGATTCCACTGATTACGTCAGTTATCTAAGTAACTGTTTCAAGTGTAATTACAAGTAACAAAGCCTTGCCATGCACTCGCAGTAATTGAAACTACCAACTGTGAATTGTCACAACATGGCCAAATCAATCGATCAGTGCATCGGTTTACAATATCGATCTCTGATTTCTCTTGTCTTGACGCTGTTTCAAACTAGACTTCCAACTATACGACTAGACCTCCATCTCTCTTGGTAAGAAAGTGGATCAATTTTGAACCTACTAACCACTCCGAATCCACAGCCGTGGGTAAGGAACCTATTTCAGAAAATATTTCATTCAAACTCAAGTATGCACTTGAAAACGTTTGAACAATTCCAGAAAAACGCATGTAATTTCAAGATGAATGAATGCTTTTGAATGCACATCGGTCAAATGGAACTCGTCCTCTTCGACCTGTGGGTTATTCCACTTTTCATCTCAAGAGCTGGCGACCATAGGCTTCTCGAGAGCGTGGATCCCTTCCATTGGATTTCTGATTCGCCACCTTATCCAATCAATGGCTATGGCTACTTGTGATCTTAGACGTCGTTACATAAGATTGGCGTTTGCTCAAGAAGCTGTCAGCCGGCACTTCCTCTCATAGTTTTCTCTTACGCCTCTCCGTTCACGTTGTATATCCCTCTGTTATTGAGAAATCCGTAGCAGTTATGGCCGCCGCCACCGCGATGCACTCCACCGCCCTGGCTGGGCAGAGTCTGTTTCAGCCCGTCAATGAGCTCTCCCGCAAGGTCGGCAATGTCGACAGCCGCGTCACCATGCGTCGAACCGTCAACAAGTCGGCTGGCAGCGACAGCATCTGGTGCACTGAAAATCCATATGATATTTCCCATTCATTGTTTGGTAATATTGATAGTAATTGTGTACATTCTGCACCGTTCCGTCTATCAGAGCTATGTAACTTCAAGTTTCTTTTTCACTGTTAGAAATTCGCGTATTATATGTTCAGAGATCTATTACCGGACGTACGTAAATAACGAATTACTTTGGCACCTGTTGTGTTGTCGTCCAAACCCCATTAATTGTACAAATTCTCTTCCCAGTAGTCCAATCTGGGACTGTGTCGTCTTTCCATCGCTACAACTGTGATTCTCTCAGTACTCATCATCGATTGGAGAGTGTAGAGAATGCAGCGCATTGTTGAGAGTAGTTTCGATGTTGTCACAGGTATGGAGCTGACCGACCCAAGTTCCTGGGCCCCTTTTCCGGCGAGACCCCGTCGTACCTGAACGGCGAGTTCGCTGGAGACTACGGGTGGGACACCGCTGGACTGTCGTCCGACCCCGAGACGTTCGCCCGCAACAGGGAGCTGGAGGTGATCCACGCCCGGTGGGCCATGTTGGGGGCTTTGGGGTGCCTGACCCCGGAGCTGCTGGCCAAGAGCGGCGTGAAGTTCGGCGAGGCGGTGTGGTTCAAGGCCGGAGCTCAGATCTTCAGCGAGGGCGGGCTGGACTACCTGGGCAACCCCAGCCTGGTGCACGCTCAGAGCATTTTGGCGATCTGGGCATGCCAGGTGGTGCTGATGGGAGCCGTGGAGGGGTACCGTGTTGCGGGAGGACCTCTGGGCGAAGTGACGGACCCCATCTATCCCGGAGGGTCGTTCGACCCCTTGGGTTTGGCTGACGACCCCGACACCTTCGCGGAGTTGAAGGTGAAGGAGATCAAGAACGGGCGATTGGCGATGTTCTCGATGTTCGGATTCTTCGTGCAGGCGATTGTGACCGGAAAGGGGCCACTGGAGAACTTGAACGACCACTTGGCGGACCCCGTGGCCAACAACGCATGGGCCTACGCCACCAACTTCACCCCCGGGAACTAGATTTGTGAATGAAAACAAGATGAATGGCACCGTGCGAGTCAGAGCTTCTAGATTGTATATAGTGACAAGTTTTTTTCATGTCTCTTGTTCTTGAATGACGATCGGCCATCGATTTACAGCCGGATTGCGGTTCCTCTTACGTGTTGTCTGTGCCATGAGTTGTTTGAACGTTCCAGTTTTGTATGATGTGGTGTTTGAATTGGTCTTGTTAGCGAACACTCTATCATTGTCTACCCCGACATGGTCATAATTGGTTACATTTTCCGTGCTCCTTAGCACCATTTTCTGTGGGCGTTGTACAGTTATCATCTCAGTAGGGAACTTGGGTCGGTCAGCTCCATACCTGTAACAACATCGGAACTCCCAACTATGTGCTGCATGCGCTACAGTTTCCAATTGACGACGAATACTGAGAGAATTACAGACCTAGCGATAGAAGGACAACACAGTTCCAGTTTCAAATGCTGGGAGCAGAGTTTGTAGAATGAATGCGGATATTGAACACTGACACAACAAGTGCCAAACATTCGTTACAGTACGTGCATTCGGTTATGGAGCACTCGACAAGTAATAGTCAACAGTAGAGGAGAGTTTTGAAATGAAATAACTCTGATAGACGGAATGGGGCATCTACCAGAATAATAATAATAAGAATGCAACCTCATCCAGAATTATCTCTTTTAGAAGAATGTATCTTTCCCAGAAGAATCTGCCATTCTGTATGCGGGAAATCTGGGTGAGAACTACGTGTCATGCACAAGTGAAAACTACCAGTCAACGTTTTTCTCCAGCAATAGTATCGCAAAGTGCTTCAAAAGACTTTTATCGACTTCAGGGTGATTTGTATTCGTATGCACAAACAAAGGTGCCCTTATGACTTTTTCTTTTTGTTGAATTGTGAGGATACCTCCTGTGTATTAGCACGTTCCAATCGGAACACTTTTTACAAGCCAGGGTTGATGAATTCAAATAACCTTCGGCGTGACGGTACTGAAAGAAAAACCACTTCATCACTACTTTTCTGGCATGTGGTTCCACATGCGAATAGTTTGGGGTCGGTCGCAAATACAAAAGTGCAGTAGTTACTTTAAAAAGTATTGAGGCCCCGTCTATTTGACAGATGCCATTCGCATGAACTTTTGAATTGTTGCTGCAGCTCATGCGGCTGGCAGACTTGATTGGATTTGATCACAACATTGAGACAAGCCCTTGCAATAGGTACACAGTTCATTCACTTGAATCTGGGATGAATTTTGCATCTTACTGGCGGATCCGTTTTGGAGTGTCTGGTCGGATTATCTCATCTTATTTTGGAGATCACGATTCTTTATTCATTATAGAAATCCGCTTAAATGATTACAAATCATAAAAGTGCCAAGCACCGATTTTTGCAAATTTCTGTCATTGTAACCATGTTTTGTCACTAATCGTGGATTAAGAAGATTATGTTGTTTGTAGCTATGCTTCAATGCTCACACTTGGAACATGATCACTTGAGAAGTGCAGCGTTGAGCATGTTGTCATGGTCTAGGCTCGTATGGCGTCTCCACGTAAAACGCCAGATCTTGGCAGGCTTAGAAAACAACTCTCTTTCACCCAGGTGTCCTACTCCCTGAAGCTAAACTTTGTAGGACATCTCTTTCAGTTGGTAATCTAGCTGAGATGCTTGATTTGCGCCGACTTTCTCTCAAGGAAAGTTAAGAAGCATGGCCACAAAAATGCCCGTCCAACAAATCACGACACCCATTTTTTATGGATTAATTTTATTTTTATGGGAGATTTAATTTTATGGTGTCTTCAAGACTCATAAAATTGCATGAAAAAATTGCTATCTGAAAGAATCAGTTAGTATTGTTGTATTAGTACTATTACAGCAAATATTAGAATACATGGACAATTCATAAGGTACAAAAGATCAAGACCCTAATTGCCAAACAAAAGCCACAGCTAATATTTGCCTTGTTTTGCCACTATTTATCGCCTTTCACTCAATTTGAATTGATATTGCCATGACTATATATCCAGAGACACATTTGCATAATTGGCGGCACCTCATTCTATAATTCAAGTTGAGTGTGTTCAAATCTATTTGCTGACATTTCTAGCCTTAACATTGCTATAGTTGTTGCCTACATTATGTCTTTCTAATTGTATACCAAAAAATTCTTTCACAAGCATTCTAAATTGTTGTCATAACTTAAACCTTGCAAAATTGATACATATTTGTCCGAGCTCTTTTTTGTTTCTCTACCATATTATTAATTTGTTTTATTTTTTCACTACTCAATCCATTAATGACAAATTTGGTTCTAAGTCTTCCAGTTCTTTTTCTTCCATTGTTTGTTTTGTGGCAAGTAATTTGGCAAAGATGGCACAACTAACCACCAAGACATAGCCACCGTTCTATGTCTATAAGGCATTGATCCAATGAAAGTCAGTCTTTGGCACTACTTGGATAGAGACAATAAATCTAATAAAGTATTACAATCACCTCTAAAACAATGTGTACATCAATTAGTGTAATGAAATCATCTAAATATTCATCTTTGATGCAAAATATCCCACTAGTATTATCAAAAGAATCAAAGTAGAATATTTACCTCAATACTTATATTTTCTTATTTGGCTAGAAATTTGAAGGTGTAGCTACATGGAACAAGATTATTTGTAAGCATCTTTGCCTAGACATTGAACACTTTGTAGAAAGAGTGCATTAGGACAACTACAAGTACATCTTCTAGCTTGAACAACAATATTTGAAGCCCATATTTACATGACTTTGAAGCATATTGAATAAAAAAAATTTTGCGACAAAAATAATCACATTTAGGAAGATTACTTATAGGTATACTTAATGGTATATAATGGTAAAAATATTAACTATGGCATAATTGTTAAAAAACATCTTTGTATTAAATTTTTCCACTTCAATTATAATCCACACTAGTAACCCTATTGGTCCATTTTTAACCTTATATATCTATTGCAATCTAGTACATAATTGTAAACACAGTATACCACCTTGATTATGGCCTATAGTTGACATACATAAAAAATTATGCGAGAATTGTGATCAATGTAAGCGAGGTATAGAGACATTGGATCAATGCAAAGAATTGTGCTAGACATGCAAACTATTCAAGCAAGAGGCAAAAACATTAGATCAATGTGATGTAAAAAAATCTAAAGATAATCTAATTATTTGCAATCTACAATAAACCATTATTTAAAATATTTTATTCTTTTTAAGAACTAATGAAAAAATACGTAATAAAGCTATTTCAAACATTGATCAACTTGATATATTTTACTAAGGATAATGAAGATTATGCAATGTAGCTAGCAACTGTCAATGAAGGGCATGAAACAGTATATATTGGATATGATAGATTGTACTTTAAATTTTTTCACATTATATGGTTGGATCAAAAGACAACAATACACCATAAATTAATACAAATATACTATTTGTGACCTTTAATAATCTTTAGCACTTACCAAAGACAAGCTCAAAATGGCCTAAGGGACAATTTTTGCTCACAAAGCTATTCTCTATATTACATACCAATAAATTATGACATTGGAAATAACTAACAAAAAAATTAGACAATATTAAGTCAAACTTCTTGCCACAAATGCATAGTTGTGATAAAAGATATATGAGGCTAAAGAATAAAGAGGGATGAATGTTAAGGAATTAAAACAAAAGTCTCAATAAATGGAACAAAAATGCCTTCATACAAAGGTCGCTCAATAAAATTTTGAAGCCAATTGCATTGGTTGGATTTAAGAGGTAGTACTTATTATTGCTTTCAATGCAATTTGATTAATAAAACAAAGTCTTAATATTTAGCAAGACAAAGAAAAAACATTCATATAACTATATATGATAGATATGATGAATAGGTTGGAATTAGTATACAAAGATAAAAGATGGAAACCAAATAATATGATAATGGAGGAAAAAATTTGTAAATACACCAAGGGATTGATTGACATATCCATGCAATAAACCTTAAAATTCCTAAGACATAGTCTATAGTCTATGGTTCTATCATTCTTGATCATAATTTCAAATATCAAAAACTTATATGGATATGATTGATACAAAAATAGATGTTTTTTTTATAGTCTTACTTCTTAATTTTAGGATATGTGAGGTCAGCTACGATAAAAAGAAGTTGTTGATATTGAGAAAAAAAAAATTAAGATAACAATGATGATAAGAAAAGTAATACTACTAATTAAGAAGCAACGGTGTCGTGTTGTAACATGAGTATACTGTGAAAATATAAAGAAAGAGGACTTTTATTAATGTTGAGTTACCTCGAATATTGGGAGCAATGATCAATTCCAGTGCAAATACTGAGAGGCTAGGTTTAGTCACCTCATTACAGTCAGTTGGGGCTTACTAAAATGCTTCATTCGATTCCAATAATGGGAGTCAGCAGAAAGGAAAAGGACCAATTCAACGACGGGTGAGCCTGATTCGAAGAGCCAATTGGATCCAATTTCAAGACATCCAATCCGAGTCCTCTTACCCAATATGAGACCTGAATTGGTCGGGCAGCCCAATGCGGTCCAATTGCGGGAACATCCAGGTCTTACTATAGGCCTCTTATCCAATATGAGACCTGAATTGGTCGGGCGACTCAATATTGTCCCGATTACGGGGCTCCGATTTTGTTTCAGGCTGTTCTGTCCTTTGTGCTGTTCCGGGGACGTCCTTTCGGTAAAAGGATCTCTTAAAGGTAAAAATGGAGGAGAAAGCTCTGACGATGGAGCCAATTCTAGATCCAAGACGGAAGGAGCCAATTTCGGATCCAAGACGGAAGGAGCCAATTCCGGATCCAAGACGGAAGATTGAAGAAATTCAGAGGCTAGGGTTTGAAAGAGGGGAGAATTAGGATTAAAGGGGAGGAAGGTTAAGAAATGGAGGGGGGGGGGTTTTTTTCAGATCGGGTTTTTTCGATCGAAGAGCTAGCTTCAAGCTCTTTTCAAGGTCACTAGTTTGGTTTCATTAGGATTTGTGAGGGGAGAGTAATCGCTGCTCAAAGTCAGTGTTTATTTTGGTGTTTCGGATTTTATATAAAACATTGATGGTTTGCATTCTCAATCGGTTTGTGCAAGTCGTGTAGC